CACTTGATTATGTTGTTTGCTGTTGCCTATGGCAAGTGGACGGCATTTGACACATCTTTATGTTTGTGAATTCTCCTCACTTGTTACAAAACGCTATACATTGCTTACTAAGACTGGGGTACTACTTATTGCAGTTGTTTTTCTGAATGGTCCTGGTGCCCAAAGTTGATCCACACACCTTTGTTTTAGTGCCATTAAGTATAAGAGCTATTCCTCTTTTCAAAACTCTAAATCCCAGGTATGAACACATCTTTACGACCTGAGTGTATGAATATTTGGCGTTGGAAAGGGCTGTTGCATACCCTTCCAAAAGCGATCAATTTTCGATTGCGTCACACTACCTTCGAACGTCAAACAATGTCCAAATATAATTTTGAGAGACATCTTTCCATCAAGACTTTTTATTTTCTAGAATCACGTGATTTACTAAACTGTACATTGTTTGTTTTTGGAATTTCGTGCAAAGCTATACGAGGACTATCTGCGCTAACCGTCCCTAATTTTGCAGTGAAAGACTAGAGACTAGACTGTAACGCCACCACGAGTGAAAGGGTGAGTATGTTTGGTGGGCGGGGATTCTATACTACCTGCATACTATGACCTACACCTATGAAACTTTGTATAAGCGAATTCGCAATTACTTAATTTCCCTTTCGAGCAGAAACCAAAGTCTTCAATTGACAGCTCGAAGGAAGGTTCATAGGGGTGGATAATTCTAGATCATATTTTATGTTGTCTGCTCAGTTGCATGGAGAGGAGTACCTTTTTCTGGAAGCGTTTTCTCCTAATGAGTATGATAATATGCATTGATGCAAAACCAGGATGTCAATGTTATGTATCTGACTGGCTATGCTTTTGGTGTTTTTCTGTTATTAAAAAGTAGGAGTTCTTCCTTTAGGGAAATAGATGTGTTACGGGTCTACATCTGGGTTCTGGGTTGTCAGTCTATAAGTCAACTTTATATATTTATGTAAATGGAAAGTGTGAAATCAGTACCCATCTTCTGTTTTCACTTATTATAATTTCATCCTTATTGACAATATAATCACTACAACGTGCTGCCAACAAGCTTTGTTTCTTATCTTCAAGTTTGATAAACTGGTTAACTGTAATTGTTGAAATGTTATTAGCTTCAACCACAGAGTGAATAAAGCTTATTTGTTTGTGATACGTGAAATTTTACCCCAACGTTCAATGAACTTAATATAACAACATTCGAAGAGATTCTTTCAAATTCTAAATTTTGCAAAGTCTGTCTAGTCAGTTAGATTAAAATGTTAGATGTGAATATTACGTAAGTTTTAGTCTATTATCAAAGTCAAAATTCATAATTTTTAATTGTATTTCTCTTTACATTTTAGTCAATGTCAATTCTGACCTTTGCTGTGTTTTCTTCAGTGATAAATTAAAAAAAAACATAATATATTATCTTCATTTATTTTGAAAGAATCTGTGTGTCTCTTCAATTTTTGCATATCACTAAGGCTAGATTCATACTCTAAGTCATTCAAATTTTCCATTTTGTGGTTCAACATAACAGTGAAATAATTATTCAATAAATTCAATATACCTCAATAAATTTTCTGATTATGTAAATTGTACTGATTTCTTTGTCTCTAAGCCATTTGTTTATCTTTCTTAAAAAAACTACTGAAATAATTATCTTTGTCTTATGCAGAAAGTCTTACAGACAGCATGAAAAGTATTTTCATATCTTTTGACTGCTAATTGCATTCATATAAATCCATGAAGGAAGTTCCATCTGACCACTGATGTACAGAGTAGCCCAAGAGTTTGCGGTGGGTGGTGATGACTAGCTGCCTTCCCTCTAGTCTTACACTGCTAAATTAGGGATGGCTAGCGTAGATAGCCTTCGTGTAGCTTTACATTAAGCATTTGTTTGGAAAAAAGCACAAAGCTACACAACGAGCTATCTGTGCTCTGCCCACCACGGGTATCGAAACCCGATTTCTATCGTTGTAAGTACGCAGACATATCGCTGTGCCACTGGGGGGCTGGACATTTGAAATAACCAGTTCATTATTGACTTTAACATATAGTTCTTAATCCATAATGTAGTAAACATTATCCAACCGACAACCCAATTTTACTAGTGACTTCACTGATTTTAAATTTTGCTCTTACACTGATAGTTGCATATCTAACTTATGAAGCGTAAGTTAACAGCATATAGTATTCGTAGGAGTTGTTAGTTGATATTGTACGTTCCTAATTTATACGTTTATATTAGACTGTTGTTTCCTTTACTTTGCTTCTAGAAAATTGAGCTTGGTGTTTTTCTTTGTTAATGTGTAAAACGCTGCAAAGGCTAATATGAGTCAAAATTAGGAAAACTTCGTAAAAGGTATCTAATTAATTACTGAAGCTAATTAAAAAGATCATTGTTGGTTTTGAAAATTAACTCTAAACTTTTTAATGTAACCGTTTGCACTCTTGTTTATAATTTAAAAATTATATCAATGCTAATACGTAAATTTACAGTCATAAAAATTTGTAACTGCTATAGAAACTCTGATGTGTTTCACGGGCAGAATCTAATGTAAACTTGGATTAAGATGAGTGAAGCGTGATGTATATTTTAGAATTTACGAGAAGATTACATCATTTACCTAGAGTTACAAAGTAAAAAATGTATATTTTACTGTACTTTTAAATAAACGTTAAACAAGATTATGTATTTGTTATTGAAGTCTATGTTCACTCAAAATAATTATGTAAAACAAAGCACATGTAATTTTGTTGTGTCTGATGTCAGTTTTCTATTTTACATAATGTTTGTTACTGGATGTAACATGTATATACGTCCAGTAAATGAGTTAAATTAATTTTAAAAATTATGATTATTTATATATAAACGAAATAAATGAATTTTCTGATGATAGACCAAATTGCTAACGACCGTTTTTCCTTTATGAAATGCTTCTTGCATAAGTAAATAAGAACCAAAAAAGCAAAGCTTAGGTTTAGCATTTGAAGGTACGGTTTATCTCTAGTACGATGTTCAACTTGGAACTCTTTTGTTTTACTTGTGTTTTACATGTATGAGTTACACTGGGAGTTTATTAGTAACAATAATCTGCAGGTTTCATCAGTTAGGGAGCAACTAATTTGTCAATACATGCTGCTCTACATATGAAGCTATCCAAAAGAATAAGCATTATGATAGTGACATTTTTCGTAAGAGTTATAAACTTGTTACATGTTTAATGTATTATTGACAGTTTAAATTGTATCTGACTCATTGATCAGTTGGGTTTTGGAAAGCAGCAAATTTACGTTGTTAGGTTGCCGACCTGTTAACTAGGCGAAAAGGTAAAATTCTATATCAGGGTTCAACTGATTGTAATTGGCTCAACTAGAAATGACAAGGCCTGTCAAGTGAATTGGGGGTTTTGGTGGCAGATTAACTTTGAGCTTCAAAGCGTTCGGCTATGCCTAATTTGTAGAAGTATCTGTATATAGTTTTGTGTATTCGTGCAATGCAGTTTTTATTTAATTGAATTTCTGTTTTGTTGATCTTGAATTCATTGGAATTTATTTTATTTCTGTAAAGTGGTGTTAGTGTGGGTCATTCCATCTATTACCAAAATATTTTCATTATTACTGATCAAATTCTACAAACTCGTTTTTTTGTGAATTTACTTTGATCTTTTGGTTTATCTCTCAGTAAAGGAAGTTAAAGAAATTCAGCTCTCAGTTGTTTGGACAGAACAAAATGTTCACGAGTTTATAGCAAATGCCATTGCTTTTAAAATTTTTACCAGGTGATAGAATTTTATCAATTCACCCAAGTCTATTTCTTTGCTACATAAATATAGTTATGCTTAAAGTTGAGCATTTACAGCTCACATTATAAACTCATCAAAGAAAAATCTATGAAAATCTTAATTCTTGCAACTGTTGAGGTTCAAGCTTTTACAAAGTGAGAAGTGTCGATTGATACACAAAAGCTTGTGCGCGTGTGACACACATGCCCCAGTTACGACTCTTACTCACGCGAGCACGTGCCCAGGTGGCACAGACTATTGATACTATTCAGGTGGAAGCTTGCTTGCGTACTGCTCATCATTCACACATGGTTCAATGCAGGAGTAATGTGCTCTTATAACAAACTGTGCTTTTCAGTAGCACAAAACAGCTTTTTCGCGCCTAAAAAAATAAAGAGTTTATTGTGTTGATTGACTCAACAGTTTAATTTTAACTAGCGTAAAACAATTCACTGTATTCAGATTGTGGAATTCACAAAGTTGTAAATAAGACATAATCAGTATCTAAACTTGTCTTACATATACTCGTAAATATTCATTCTTAAATAACTGTTTTTTTAACTCATTTACATATTCTAAACTGTAGCATAAGTCTATATTTCTAGTTTTATAGTAAAATGTTTATTTCGCGTTATTCTGCTATTTATTTACTTTTATTAATAATAATGGTTTTTATGTATTTAAATACATTATAATCTTTAAATATTCATGTGATCGTGAAATATGCACGTTTTGATTTTCATCTTTCCGCTGATTTTAGGTGTACACAGTTTCCTATGGAATTAATGTTATTTGTCTTAAGATGATTAATACGTGTGTTTCATGAAAGCTAGTTGTACAAATGCAGTGATTTTCTCTGAATATAAATATATTACCTACCATTGTTGATAATAAAAACCCAAACCTAAAAACAGAAAGAAATGAGTTAGTTGATGCTTGTAATTTCCTATGTTTTTTTCATGAACGAGCAATTTTTTTTTCACTTTTCCTGCAACCGCTACGCGACGCCACCATCAAATTTGTGCAGTCATCTATTGAGGGAGGAGCTAATGCAATACTAAGCAGACGGGAAGCCTGGTGCTTATGTAGTTAATATCCAGTGGAAAGAGGAAAGACAGATCTTGTGGAGGTACAATGGAATGTTGTTTTCAACTTCTGCCCACACTCATGCCTGTTCACGGGCTAGCTTCTTTGTACGTTGAAACTTCGTGATGTATGTAACATGATTTAACCCAGAATATTCAGAATTATACATCTTTGCAAATATAATTGTTAGCAAAAGGCCAAATAAGCTTCCGTTAGGCTCACTGTGTCAAATTTAATACTGTTGTTATTGTTGGATTCCACGTGCTACTACTCTTGTCGTCATGTCTTATATTTCCACCACGTGCTATAATCTTTCTCACGAGCAAATAACTTACCGTATCAACTTTGACAGCGAGAACTCTAACCGGTATTGCAGAAAAAGCATGACTCATTGCTTTGATAATAGACTAGTGGACAGCAGTAGCAAATGTTTACAGAAGTCTAGGATATTATCGCGGAAATGTTATCATCAATCTTGTGTTATTTTAAATGGTAAGTACTTTTACTTCATAGATGAATGTTTTTCTACCATTATATTCATTTAATATTTAAAAATGACCTTGTGTTAAAAAAGATATAAATTATCGAATGTGTATTTGAAAATATTTACTAACTGATATGATTGCTTCAATATACTAGCTTTTCTAGAAGTAAACCTTTAATATTATAATATTCAAATGTTTTAGTTAAATTTTTGAAATTAGAAATTCGTTCAAAGTTAACAAACATCAGTAACTCTGGAGAAAGGCAAGGCGAAAGAACATGACTAAACTTAATACAGTGGTGGAGTGTATATTATATGCATAGTGTTTTTTAATATCTTTCACAAACACCATGGCCAAGTGGTTAGGACGCTCGACTCGCAATCTGCGGGTCGCGGGTTCGCATCCCCATCCCACCAAACATGCTCGCCCTTTCAGCCGT